ATAATAATTACAATAATAATACTAAGAATAAAATCAATTGTTTTAATTTTCAATCTGCATATAACAGGATTAGGATCTATTTAAGTCATTGCCAAAATGTCACAAGATGAAAGGGGCGTATTCCAGTTAGTCAGGAAAAATACAGACCGAACGTCCAGCCCAACTGTACTCAGTCAAAACTGGCCCAGATTACATGCGCCGCCGGAATCAGTTGCCATGCTTGCTCGGGTATGGCCCGTAATCATTTGCCAAATTTGGCAGTTAGCCAGATGTGCCACAACTCAGCGGGATTCGGCCCACATATGCTTGCTATCTGGGCAGTGTCAGTTGGGATTGGCTCCAACTTCTCGTGACCTTATAATAAGGATAAGGATAATCACCTTTACTGGCCAAGTATGTTACACACAAGGAATTTGTTTCCGGTACAGAACCGATGGCAGTCATCTGCGGCGCCATCTCAATCGATGGCCCAAGGACACTTTGACACGTGGACTGCCGGCACCAAGATTCGAACCTTCAAGTTGGGAGAAGACTGCTCTACCCACCGCACCGTCGCCTCCCTTATTCAGGAGTAATGCTAGTAGCACCGGGCTGTGTCATGAATAATGTCTGGCTTCCTGTTTGGGGGTCTTATTTTGTAGGACACTTCCTGCTTTTTACTGTTTCACTCTCCTCCAGTTCACCATGCCAATTAGTGGTTGATCTGGGACACCTGCAGCTGGTTATTCTATTTAACCAGCCTCCACTCTGTTAGGGTGAATTTTATTTTACGCACTTATGAATGGTTTTATTTTATAGCACACATAAGTTAACATACTTACATGTCACAGATATGTTTATGTAGTAGTTACTTTTCACCCAATTATATATTCACTAAAATAAAGAGAAAATAAGTTTCTGTAGGAGACACTGAAAACTTGTGTGATATTGCAGGCTCTTGTGATTAAAAAGTCTGGTGCACTAAGTGGTTTTCCAAGGTCTAATCATCCCACCGGCTTTCATTAGATTTGTTGCCTTTTCTAAAAGAGCTCATTATTCCCTCTGAGCCTTGAAGCCAGGGGAGTTGGGGTTTGATAAGATACTAAGATTTACACCAAGGTTATGGTCAGATGTTGGTCTAGAAGAAACAGCTGCCAAGTAAAATAGCTGATTTCATGCACACACAGGCAATGCCAGGTATTCCTCCTCCTCTAAAATGCTTGTGTGTGTGTGTCAGTCAAAGCACAGAGACTTAGATAACAGGAAAACAAGTCCAGGTGCAGTCTCAGGGTTGCTGAGATGACTGTTTGCAAGAAGCGTTGTGGGTTGTGCAAAGTGTCTGTTTCAGGACAAGGTCGCGCCAAGGACGAGATCAGACAAGGACTGGGGGACCAATGACGGGAGAGTTAAGTCTAAACCACAGCTTCTCCCCAACAGTTTTTGACCAATCAGATAGTAGCACCTTTTCATACAAATATTGTGTACCGACAAGTTGAGGACAGTCTTTTCTGTTTATCCTAAACAGTGAAGATCCATGTGCACATGCTAATTTTGATACATTAATGCATAATAAATTTCACACTGTGAAATATAGATCCTCTTATTAGACTTCTCTTTTCAATATAAAAGAACACACCTCATAACTCTCACCTTCAGTACCAGATTGTCTGTTGCCATTACTGGACCTGTATTTTACCTGCTTACAACTTGATTTCCTGACATGTTACCTGCCTTTCTGTATCTTCACTTTCCAAGTCGCAGTCCTGTCAGCCATTGTGACCCTGTTGCTGATGCCAGTTTCTGCCTGCCCAGTTCTTGCCTACTTATTCGCACAGTCCCTGCTCCACACTGCCTGCCAGCTAGGATTTTTTCTCTGAACCTGCTCCAACCTGCCTGCTGCCAATACAATCCCTGCATCCTGACTTCTGTTACCTGTTGTTTATGCCAGACCGGTTTTCCACCTTGCTGACTCCTCCCTGCCACCTCAGCTCTCACTGTGCATTGAGAATGGTTTTCTGTCACCCTGGCCACTCACCTAGTTGCAGTCCAGTCCAGTCTTTGACTCCGTTACCTGTTTCTGAGGCCAGACCTGGTTTCTGCCTGTCTACTCTCTCACCTGCCTCACCCTGCTCTGTGTCATATGTCACCTGGTTTTGAGTTTTTGTACAGTATATAGTCTAATCACTGACCACAAGAGCACGCACTTACCTTGGATGACTGAATCCAGCTTTTGTAATCCACAAGATAGGTGGGTGTTGAAGAATTGAAATATCCAGATAACCTTAGCTGGCAAAAGAAAATCCAGGACTGCTCATTTTAGGTAGGAGCGGTTTAGTGACATGCTAAGAACTTCCTGGATTTGGACAGTTTATCCCATTCTTCCTGGCAGATCCTCTCAAGCTCTGTCAGATTGGATGGGAAGTGTCTGTGAATTGCCAGCTTCAAATCTCTCCAGAGAGATTCTGGTGGGTTTAAGCCTGGGCTTTGACTGTCCCTGAGTGGCCCAGCCAGAGTTAGTTTTGTCTTGGCTGTGTGCTTCAAGTCAGTGTCATGCTGAAAGGAGAACCATCACCCCAGTCTCAGGTTTCTGCACTCAGGAGCAGGTTTCTTCAAGGACCTCTCTGTATTTGGATGCAGTCATCATTCCCTCACTTCTTACCAGTCTCCATGACATTGGTGCTGAGAAGCCCCCCAGAACATGATGGCAGCATGCTAGTACCAGCAGGTGCTGAGCAGTGCCTGGTGTCCTCCAGGTGTAGTGCTCAGAGCTCTGTCCAGAGAATTACATTTAAAGTTCATATACACATGAATCACACTATAACAGCCGGAAAAATGGAGGTGACCCAAACTTTTGAATGGTAATTTAAGCATCTGATAATGACTTGACTATTAGTTGACCAGCAGCAAGGGAGGGTTTTCAGTCTAGCAACCCAGTTTATTAGTTAATTACTTGGTTTGTACCTTGACCACGACTAAAACCTTTATAAAGGGTATCTCATAAGACAAACTGGTACCATGAAATACAAGTGAGCAAAAGTAAAATGAAGATGTGAACACAGCGTTAAAGCAAATTTCTTTACTGAAACAAACAAATGAATTTTACAGAATGCTTAAATGATATTCTTGAAGTTCTGTTATTTCTCATCAGAAGGAGACAGCTCACCTCTGTCAACAGGTAACATCTTAAAATAGACTACATGACATTTACACCACAGGTTTCTGTGAAAATACACATAGAATATGTTTTACAAAATGCAATAAAAGAGTAGAAAATCCCCCCATGTACATCTCTATGGATACTCTATGAATAAAATAAAGTCCTTCTCCACTGGACTGATGAAAGCAGGACATTTGAACTGGCAATGACTAACTAGAAAACTAGTGCTCCTGTCTGAGGTCTTACACAACAAGAAGAACAAGTTCATAGGCGAAGGAACACATCTGAAGGCCACCATGCCCCAGTGACAAGTGCAATGTGATCAGTGAACTTGGCCAAGAGGGAGAGCTGCACAATCCATAAGACATTATATAAATGTACAATTAACATTTTAAAACAGATTTTTAATAAACTAGCAATGGCAACACAGCTATTGAAATGTTCTCACACACGGGACTTAAATAAAAGTGCAATGCACAACTTTCAGTAGAAGAGTAGGGAAACGACTGGGTAGATAAAGCATGATAGAAATCTGAACAGATTTTTTAAAAATTCATCTATATACTGTAGAAAAAATAGAACATACATCATCAACTCCAAGCTCGGCAGAACTACTGCAGAGTGCTGTCTGAAATGCAGACGTTACTTTCCTAAAGCACCTTAATACACAGGCTGGTAAAAACAAGTCAACATGTGAAAGTTAGATTCAGTTTGACTAAATTAAGTGTAAAGAAATGCAGTGAACAGTTACAGTTATAGAGGAGGCATAGTCAGTGGACAAACTGGCATCGCTCCCACTTAAAGAAATACTTCATCCATATGCTATAGTCTTTGTTGCCATTTGTTACAGCCATGCAGTGTGTGGAGCACTGGGGGAAATATTTATAGTGTGAGCAGTTTCTCAGTATACTGAAATTATAGGGAAGTTCTTTCACCAACAGCAAAGCAATATTTAAAACAAAGACCTTCTAAAAGGTGCTCATGACAATTTTGCTGTATTCTTCCATGCATGTGTTCACTATGTCCAAAACCTGAATGAATTTATTATTACAAAGTAAATTAGATTTGTCAATTGAAAGTCCAAAGAAAAGCTATGAAGTGGACATATGAAGTAAGATTATCACACAACTGTTACTAAGGTCATGGATGAACCCTGTGCTTAACCAGTCTTTATCAAACAAGTCCCTCTTTGGGTATCAACAAAACCTGTGTCCATGGCATGGGTAGTACCTTCACTCACTAATGAGACTGTACCTGATAGCAAGTAAATGTTGCTAATCTGAGATTATGTCATTTAGGTAGTGTTCTTGTACTTACTGCTTGGGTTTAGAAAACATTTAAAAATGTTGCCTTCTTTGTTTCATAAAAAAGGGTACAAATCTTGGGGGTTTGAGGATAAATAAAACAAGCACTAATGTGATATCAGTACAGAAACTCGGGTATTGTACAGTACCTGCACTACCAAGTACTATGAGGTGATGTGTGTGTGTGTTACATCTCTTTATTACATTATGTGAACATTTTTTTCATCGTCATCATTGTGAGGAAATTTTAGCTGGTCCTCACAAATTCAAAGGGCTGTTTAACGGTTAAGACGTGGTAAAGGTTAGAATTAGGTTAGGTATTTAGTTAAGCAAGTGATAGTTAAAGTTAGGGCAAGGGTTGGGGATGTATTATGTTAATGAGAGTCTTAACAACTGTGTGTGTGGCGTTAAAAATAATTGACTTCATAACATTTGTTTGAAGAAATGGCTGTCATGTTTGTTTTTCACTAAGGGTCACAGGTACAAATGTTGTGTCCATCATTCCAGCCATCAGAGACTATTAGCCAACAAAACAAACTTTTGGGTGAAGTATTCCTTTAATTAAAGAATAAATAGTAGTGCAGTTTTGTTTTCTGAATTCTGCCTTTAAAGAGTCTAAGCACTTGGAGCTGAGGACTGGATCATTAATAGGTCTGGTCTAGAGCCTTGCTACGTGACCTAGCCATCACCTGTTGGTTGGCTCGTGGACTTTTTCATTATTGTATGTTAACATATGGAGCTTTTGTTGGGTTTGGTTAATTTCAAATGTAAGCTATGGAGAAATGTCTTTTTCTGACAGTGTAAAGTCCACACAAAGTTGACACAACATGCCCACTGGGAAGTGCAACAGAGACAGGATGGAGCCAGTTTAGCCTGACATCCAACAGTAATGAATGACATTAAGCAAAAATATGGATCAGGGTCTCAGGTCATGTCAAATTTGGCTGTGCCAGTCAGCAAGGCCTAACTGTCAACTGTGCAAAGCAGATAACAGCCCTGAAGCCAGAGGTTCACAATGTTCCTGAAGGTTTGGGGAATTTGCAAAGTAGTGAAGAGGTCCTACATTAGTCTGTAATGTTATGTCCCTGTTCTAGTTTTAAGGCCTTAAGAATTACACTCTATATTCTGTTCATATGGGGCTTATTTCTGAACAAAGGGTGTTAAATCACATCATGATGGCTGAACTCCAGTACAGCCTTCTCAGAATATGAAACCTGACATTTATTGAAGCAACATTTTTAGAGCTGAAATGATTAGAGGCATAATTGATTAGTCTATCGGCAGAAAATCAACATACCAAATATTAACAAATGCTTTATACCAAATTTGTATTGGTTCCTGTGTCTACAATATAGGATTCTAAACGGAATAATATCAGAATGGTCAAAAAATACTTTGTATGTTTCCCAGACATACTTTGCATGTCTCAGAAAGTGTCATTTCTGACATTACAGATTGTCAGTGAACTGAGACAATAATCTTTAGTGACAACCTTAAACATTTTGGATAGTTCCAGTACAGATTTTAGTTATATATACTGTCCAATTAATGTGGGCACATAATTGACTTACTAAAGAGTGTAGAGGTGACAGGATCTAAAGGAATAACTGCAATATGTCTGGTAAAACACAGAATTAATTCAGCCATTTTAGGGCACAAGTCAGTAATTTACAAATTCTGAATATGAGGGTATGAGGGTCAGGCTCTGTATCATAGGCACTGGTGACAGCAAGAAACAAATAAAATGATGTTGATTTTATCCTTTAAACTTAAGTAGTAAAATTCATTGAAATGGTTAGCAAAGAACAGTTAATCTCACATGACTGTAGATTAAGCTTTAACATGTGCCTTGTCTTTTGTATTGGTGCTCTGGAGTCAAAATGCTACTTTACTGAACAAAAGCCATTTGTGTATTGCTTCCTACGGTTACATACTGCTGGGCTGGACGTCAGCCTACTGCACTGTGTGGAGTCCTATGGAAAAGCTATAGTAAAAAAATACTGCTGCTTTCTTGAATGCAGTCAAACAAACAAAGCAAAGAAAACTCTCTCTGAATTAACAAAGATGAATGAGTAAAAAACAGAGAACAGTCCAAAGCGGGTCCTGATGTCATCTGGAGCTACACTCTCTCAGTGGCTAGCTGCTAAGGTAAGGTACAGTGAGCACAGTTCAGTCTGTCAGTGCTGGTGGTGTGTGGGTAAACAGACCGGGGGTGACCGTTACTCCATGATAGCTCTGTAAATCACAGGCTCTATGTAGTCCCCCCTGTAACGTGAGTTGATCACTCTCTGTCTCTTTGACTCCTGGATGATCTCCTTCTCTTCAAAGATCCCATCAAACCTCATGTCTGACGCTTTAGACTGCAGAGACAAACAAGATCCAACTCATCATACTCCTTCTTTATTTTGTGAGCACACAAGATTAGAGAGGACACAGTGTATTAATTACAGTAGGTGAAAAGGTGTGTGTGGTTTGGATTGCACATACCAGTCTGGATTTGACTCTCTTGGGGAGTTCCTCCTCCAGAGTGTAGACATCATCTCTTTTGGCTGTTAGCTGCGACCCATCCTCAAATTCCACCTGCATTCCAGAAATGTAGCAATCAGTATAGTCAGGATGCAAGTAAAGCTAAACAGTGCACTTTACAACTGTACTCATAATCAATGTGTCACTAGCATCTGGGGGGGGAAAAAAAACAAAAAAAAAAACACACACACTCCCACCAACATGCATTAGTTTAATGCAGGGCCGTTTTGTGTGGCATTCAAAAACACAAAGTACTTACAAGGTACAAGGAACGGCCATTTCTAAAATGCAAGATTCTGACAAAGGAGCGTGAAGAAAAAGCTTTTGCTAGTCTTCCATGATAGCAATTCTGTTCTTTAGGTTAGTTTAGGTCATTTATTTGTGTTAGTAATTACATTATATTAATGAAGTCAAATCTGAATACAGTGTGACAGAAAACACACACACAGACATACAAAAATTCTTACCAGGTACATTTGGATGACATGAGCTGCCACAAATTTAGCACCGTACACCAGACCGTCTGTCCATCGCACCTGAACCACTTCACCCTGGGGTGGGGCTCCAAGCTGAGCACAGTCCCGGTTCTAACAGACAAATCACACATGGGAAAGTTCTTAGAAACATTGAACAAAGGACACATTTCATGCTTGGCAAAGTAAGATCTAAATGTTAACGCTTCTTATGTTTGAGTCAAATTTGTACTACCCAATTTTATTTTTAATGTAAAACTATTATTAAATGTCTTGTGGCCAAAATAAAGTCAGAGTTGTTTATTTTGTGGCACAAGAGTGAACAAGATTGAAAATCACATATATGATACCCAGTAAATACTGTAAATTCTCATTTAAAAAAATAATGGCCGAGTCTCAAATAGCCAGCACAATCACAAAAACTACTGAGGGTGGTGGGATTACTCATTAACTACTACACATGGTACAGTAAACTAAAACAAATGTCCATCTCCACTGCACTAATTACATCTGTATGATACAGTATAATCTGATACTCAGCACTATGTGTGCACAGCTTCTATTTTAAAAGAAATGTTTTTACAAGTACAAGTCTAGTCGTTTGTTTACTGCTACACTCGTGAACCATGGGTCAACACTTCCTGATGTTTTTTACACATTAAAAGCCAACCCATAAATGGGGGTGGCTTTGTGCCTTTGAATATGATGATTCTAGAGGAAATGTTTTATTCATGGTTGTTTGACATTTTCTGTGATAAAGGGCAAAGTGGCATGCCCAGCATGGCTCTTGTTGTACGGATGGAATTTGTGCTGTGGAAAGATCTGTCTCTGTCTGTAACACAAGATTGTCAGATAAGGGCTTGGTCCTCTCTGGCACTGAGATAAATAAAGGCCAATGTTTTAAAAATGCCACCACTGTGTAATGCCCACCAGTCCAAAATAGACATTTTGAAGAGACGTTTTATTCTGAATCAGAATAATCATGATTTATAAACTAACTTTGATTCCAGGCTTTGATTCTCACCATAAAGCTTGGCTTAATATTCCCTCTTTCTCTTTTTGACAATGGAAATGTTCTTAGATTTTAGAATGTGAAATTGTGTTAATCAAACGTTGTGTAACATATCTACAAGAAACTATTTAGTAAAGCTAATAAATGATTTCTGAACTTGTTTATATGAAAATGTTTTGATGAAGTTCGATTTAAATTTACCTATTGTCTATAAGATGTCTGAAACTCAACCATTGCAAAAGATGACATTCAGGTTAATATCAACAGTAACTTAAGTGTACTGCTCCAAACACTAGTTTAGAAAATTTAAGTGGTTTTGATTTCTCCATTTTATGATTGCGTGCTTAATAAAATTCTTGCTTATTTTCTTTTATTTTCAAAGTTATCCTTCGTACACCTCCACAGAATGTCTGAGTGCCTTTTCATGTTTAAACTATGTGTTGCTTAAATTTAGTGTTCAAATGGGAAATATTCCATGTTGATAATATAAATCAGTGTGCTCCTAAAAGAACCAATCAGGAACTCATTGTCATGACATCAGAGTGAGAGGCCTCCCACTAGCAGACTCCTGACCAATCAGGTGAAGCCAAGTGCCTAAGCTGGTGCATGACTTCTCAAGGAGTACCTCTCCTTGCTGTCTTTTTGTGTTTTGTGTAAAATTTCTTTTTCTTAATCTTATGCTCACATCGTCACAAGAAGTGTTTTTTTTTTTTTTTTTTTTGCTTTAGCAACAGTATAGTGATGTTTTGAATCATTCTAATGTAACCAGGGGGGAAGCTGGTAAAGTGCACCAAAATTCGAATAGTTACAGCCAAAGTTTGTAGATAAAGAAAACATTTAGTAGTAAACTTGAAAGCATGTTTTATTTAAACCGGATCTTTTGATATGTGGGTTTAATTGGTTTGACCTAGTTTTTTGGCAGAGAGCCAGACTGAGTGTGTTTTACATCCCTTCAATTTTGAAGCTTTTTGTTTATAGAATATTCTCATGTTCTCAAAAGTTTCATTCTGTCAGTCTGAATATTACAACTGGGTACAACAAATCTTCCCTACTGCAGCATCCAGAGAGAAATTGTAAAATACAAGACTTGTTTCATTTTGTTGAATGGGAAACACAAGAAAACATCTCCTTCTTCACCACGACGGACCAGTAAATCAGCTGCATTACTGCAGAAGCTGCACCGATCCACCTGTCAATCTCCCGTTCCATCCTTCCCTCACTTGTGAAAGAGACCCCGAGATACTTAAACTCCTCCACTTGAGGCAGGAACTCTCCACCGACCTAAAGGGAACAGGCTGCACCTAGAAATTCCGTCTATAAAAATGATGAACAGAACTGGTGACAAAAGGCAGCCCTGCTGGCGTCCACCATGCACCGGAAACAAGTCTGACTTACTGCCGGCAATGCGAACCAAGCTCCTGCTCCGGTCGTACAAGGACCGGACAGCGATTAGCAAAGGGCCCCGGACCCCGTACTCCCGGAGCCCCCCGCACAGGGCACTGCGAGGGGCACGGTCGAATGCCTTCTCCAGATCCACGAAACACATGTGGACTGGTTGGGCAAACTCCCATGAACCCTCCGCCACCCTGAAGATGATATAAAGCTGGTCCAGTGTTCCACAGCCAGGACAAAAACCGCATTGTTCCCCCTGAATCCGAGGTTCGACTATCGGTCGAATTCTCCTCTCCAGTACCCTGGCACAGACTTTCCCGGGGAGGCTGAGGAGTGTGATTCCCTATAGTTGGAACACACCCTCCGGTCCCCTTTCTTGAAAAGAGGGACCACCACCCCAGCCTGCCAGTCCAGAGACGCTGTCCCAAAACGCCATGCAACGTTGCAGAGACGTGTCAGCCAAGATACCCGCACATCATCAGTGACTTAAGGTACTCAGGGCAGATCTCATCCACCCCCGGTGCTTTGCCACCGAGAAGCTTTTTAACCACCTTGGTGACTTCGGCTTGGGTGATGGATGAGTCCACCTCTGAGCCCCCAGCCTCTCCTTCCTCATTAGAAGACATGACACTGGGGTTAAGGAGATTCTCGAACTATTCCTTCCAATGTCTGATGATGTCCCCAGTTGAGGCCAACAGCTGCCCACCTCCACTGTAACCAGTTTTGGCAGGGCACTGCTTCCCCCTCCTGAGGCGCCGGATGGTTTTCCAGAATTTCTTTGAGGCCGACCGTGGGACCGTGGGACACCTGAGGCTGCCTCAGGTGTCCCATGAGCCAACCAGGCTCGAAAGGACTCCTCCTTCAGCTTGACGGCATCCCTTGCTTCTGGTGTCCACCACCGGGTTCGGGGATTGCCAGAGACCTTACAGCAACAGCTCCGAGTGGCCGCATCGACAATGGAGGCAGAGAACATGGTCCACTCGGACTTAATGTCTCCAACCTCCCCCGGGATCTGCTCAAAGCTCTGCCGGAGGTGGGAGTTGAAGACCTCTCTGACAGGGGATTCTGCTAAACATTCCCAACAGACCCTCACAATACGTTTGGGTCTGCCGAGTCTGTCCAGCTTCCTCTCTCGCCATCGGATCCAGCTCACCACCAGGTGGTGATCAGTTGACAGCTCCGCGCCCCCTTTTACCCCACTCTTACAGA